AATTTGGGTTGGACAAATGCAGTCTTCCAGAGTCATCAGTGCCATGTACCTAGTATGGAGTGCTCTTTGAGGCTAGTGATCAGGGCTTCTCTGGAAATCTGTTGCGCAGAAGATAAGAGTTGTATTTGCTTTTCTCTATCTCTATCTTTTCTATTAAATTAAAACTCTAAAAACTACTAATTTTAAAAAATGACAATTTTATTTGTAGTAATAAAGCATTTTTTAAAATTTGTTACATTTTTTTTCATTGAGTTTACTTTTGTCTGTTATTTTTAAACTCTAATTTATTCCAGTTTGCTTTCAAAGTTTTTTTTTTCATTTTATTTTATTTTGTTTTATTTCTTTCAGTGTTCCAGAATTCATTGTATATGCACCACACCCAGTGCTCCATGCAATACATGCCCTCCATAATACCCACCACCAGGCTCACCCAGCCCCCCACTCCCCTCCCCTCTAAAACCCTCAGTTTGTTTCTCTCCCTCTCCAATCACAAAGTTTTAAAGTCATGTTTCATTTGTTGCAGTTTTCTACAGAAATTTGAAAAAAAAAAGATGAAGAATTTTAAGATTATCCAACTCTAGGACATATGCTCTTTTGAACTTTCTAAAAGCTTATTCCTTGTCAAATTCTACTTTAGTAGCAAGAAACATTAAAAACCTTTACCAAATAAAGGTTGAAGTCTCAGCACTGCAAAATCAACACACTTCTGTAAACCTTTATCTAATATACATGGCTTTCCCTGAAAATCAGTCCCTGAAAAGGCAAAATACTTTATTGTCTATAACAGAAATGTATATACTATTAGAGTTCTCACTCTCCTTCTCTTCTCTCTCTCTCTTACTCTCTCCCACTTCCTTTCATTGATACTGGATGCTTACAATTGGGAAAACAATGTTATCTCAATTGACTAGCTAATAGATATGACAGATAAATGAATAATTTCTATGAATTATTTCCAAAATTGTAGGTATTTGCATGTTCCACTATTCTAATTATGCCTCTTTAAAATGTATCACTTTATGTTTGTGCTTTGTTTATGAAATTTTAGAAATAGGTGAGATAATAAATGATTATTTATTAAGCTAAGACACTTCTTTGCAATGAAAGGACTGTATGATTTAAAATTATTTCAATTTCATTTAAGGAAGTGCCCCCTGGAGATACGTTGGGGTCTCAGAATTGTCTGTAGGATAATTTCATGCAGCAGTCCACAAGATTTGAATATAAACATTAGATTTACCTCTCTAGCTTGAGGGATTTTTCCTCTCCCCCCAAGTCTAGTTTCACCATTTTCCCTGCTCTGAAGCATCTATCACAAGTGTCATGAGCTAGAGAGACTTTAGAATCCTCCAGATCAGAGCTTCCCAGCTGGCGTGTGGTGACATGCTGAGATGCCAGGAAGGGCTATGGATGTGCTGAGATATCATCTCCTTGGAACTTGAAGTGACTGAAGGAGCCTTGAAGAAACTTCCATGTGCTTTTGTGTGTGTGCTGTTCTATGAAAAATGTTTAGAAAACCTTATTCTACCTCTTTTGTTTTGTAGATGAAGAATTGAAAACCCTTTGAGTTTTGAAGGCTTTGTGAGAGGGTTCCTTAGTTCTAAGGCTAGGTGCAGAATCCAAATCTTGTGGCTTTTGCTCTGAGGCACTTTGGCCATGACACACTTCCTTCCTTCTTTTTGGGTGAGACAGTAAAATTTAATGGCTGTTCTTGGTAAGCACTTCTATTGGAAGAAGCGACCAAACTAATTCATAACAGTTTGCTGAATTCTTCCTGAAATTCACTTTATATACACTGGTATCAACACATGTAAGAAGACGTTAGGACAGATTCTATTATCACTTTTTTAAAGAAGTGGAAATTGGCATTCAGAGAAGTTAAGTGACTTGTCAACGATTTCATAGTAAGTTACTGAATTCAACTGCAGATCTGTCTGGCTCCGGAGCTTATGCTCTTTGCACACTATCAGGATAACTACCTGTTGGAATAAAAAGTAATTGTCATCTCTATAACATAACAGAAATTCTGCCTGCAGAGGAGATAGATAAAAGATAGTTAATTTTCAGTATATGAGAAGAGAAGGAGAGGAGAGTAGAAAATAGGTGCATTCACTGTGCCTACCAGGACTTAATCTCCTCTCTTACTTGGCGGTGATTTTGGGGGAGTGCATGTCCTGGTACAATTCCTTGAAGATCTTTTGCAAAAAGAATCTTAGGATATTTTGTTTTTATTGCTTCTTCCAGGCACACAAATCAGGAAATTTTCAAGTTGAAGAAAAGTATAGAGAGACAAATTTTTACAGTATTATCTTTAGAATCTGCCGATGGTAACAAGTTAGTGGCAAAGAAGAGAGAAAGAGAGGAAGAAAAGAAGAGAAAGAGAAGTTCTAGACTAAAGAGACTTAAGAGACATGATACTCAAAGTGACATGTGATCTTTTTTATTTGGATCCTGATTCAAATGGTGCAAATGTAAGAAAAGATCCTTTGTTCTTCTTCTTAAGATTATTGGAGCATTTAATTATGGAAAATGTTTTGGCTATCTTGGCACATAGTAGACCACTTAGTGGCTTAAAACAATTTATTTTCTCACAATTTTGCAGTCAGGTCAGGTCTTTCGGAGATGCCTCTCTTCCCCATCGCTATAACTAGGGTGCCTCATCTGGGACTTGAGGATACTTCCAGGATGGCCTCACCCATAGGAGTAGCACCCGGGTGCTGGTCATCAACTTGGAGAGCAGCTCGAGCTGTTGCTAGAACCCCTTATGTTCCTTCATAGAGGTCTCTTCTGTGCTGCTTGGGCTTCCTCACAATAGGACAGCTGGGGTCCAAGAAGGAGGAAATGGAAGCTGGCAGTCCTCCTAAAGGCTAAGTTTAGATCTGGCGCAGTGATATCTCTTCCATATTCCATTTATCAGTGTAGTCACAGCTTCAGACCACATTCAAGGAATTGGAGAAATAGACTCCATCTCTCTATGGGGGGAATGACATGGGGAGGTATTTGAAGTTATCAAGGAATAATTTTAAAGTGTAGCAATGGCACTCTGATTGTCTAAGAAAATGTCAAAAAAATTTTAGAGATACAAAGTGAATTGTGTAGGAGTGAAATGACATGATGTCTGGGGTTTCAAATACTTGCACAGGAAGGAAAAATGTAAGAATAAATGAGATAGATTTAGCAACTGTTGTAATATCTTGATAATTTTTAAATACATATGATAGGAATATGGAGGGATTAGTGAACTCCACTTTTGGGTTCGTATGAAAAGCTCATCATCAATTTTGTTAAATACCTAGACTTGAAATAATATTATAGTTCCTAAAAGAGATTCAAAGTTCTAGTCTCATCTGGTTTCGATTTTGATTAAATTTTAATATCACATCTTCTCAGAACACACTGTAAATAATACTCCCCCAAAGTACTAACTTGGGAAAGCATGCAGAATGGAGACTCTTACAGGGGTGCCGTGGAAGCTATTGGGAAGAATAATAGAGGGCAGTCAAACACAGAAGACTGCTTGACAATGATGCTGATGGTGTACTTTTTTCATCTGAAAGTCACCATGTGAGGACTTCATGCTTTGAGGTCCTGCATCCGTCTTCAGAACATGAAGGGAAGTCAGAGAAACTGTAGAAAGTTACCGTGGCTGACCTTACTGACCCTTGGCATCAATTGTCAATGCACAAACCAGTCCTTTTATGAGAAGAGTTAACTCTTCTTGAGGAAACATTCTCAGATATGGAGTCTGTTACTTGGAATTCAAAGCATTCTTAACTCACAGCACTCTAAGAGCTGAAGGTGCCAATGTAGTTCTCCAGGCTTTTCTGATTAAAGAACAAGGGACAACTGGAGATGCCTTTTCTGAGGGTATTAGAAATAAATGTAATTTAAAGAAAAATAAGCCCAGGACTGGCTGAAGAAGCAGCGTATTTGCAAGGTGAAAATTGAACTTCCCAGCAATTCCACGTCTGGATATGTGCTCAAAAGAATTGAAAGCAGGGATACAAATAGAGATTTGTGTAGCCTTGTTTATGGAGGCATTATTTACAAAAGCCAAAAGGTAGAAGCAACCCAAGTATCCATCAACAGATGAATGGATAAACAAAAGTTGGTATATACATACAACGAATATTAAAAGTCTTAAAAAGGAAGGAAATTCTGACATATCCTACAACATGGGTGAGCCTCAAAGACATTATGCTAAGAGAAATAAACTAGTCACCAAAGGACAAATATTGTATGATTTTACTTAAATGCAGTGCCTAGTAGAAAAGCGAAATTCATAGAGACAGAATGAAGAATGACGGATGCCCAGGGGCTGGTGGGGAGGGAGGAGTGGGAAGTTAGTGTTTAATATGTCCAGAGTTTCACTTTTTCCAAGACGAAAGAGTTCTGGTGATGGATGGTGGTAATGGTTAATGACAATGTGAATGTATTTAATGCCACCAAAACTGTACATTGTAAAACAGTTACAATGGTAAATTGTTATGTCTAGTTTACCACTATAAAAAGTACTTATTTCACTATCTTGCCTTATTCAAAAAAAAAGCAAAACTTTTTTTTTAATTAATGGAAGGAAATAGAGGGATGGAGAGGCACACATGGGACACAGCCTCAACCTACCACCTTTGAAGGGAAGGTGGTATTTTATATTGAAGGATGGTCTTTTTTTTCGAGGTTTGCTTTCTTTTCAATTTAGTTAGCTAGGTCTATGATTGTTTTCACTGCCGTTTTCCTTCAGACTTTAGTACTATCATTGCCACCTGTGAAATCTGTTTACACAGAACATGGTACGTCTCATCCTCTCATTTGAGTAGTCAGACTTCCTCATTAATTTAGAAAATTGTTCGTTCAATAAAGACTTATCTCATTTGATCCTGGTCTCTGAATCCTCGGGATTATGGCAGGGATTTTACTCTGTAATCATCTCCCATGAGAACTGCCCCTACAGCTGCGAAGCCAAGAGAGAGCTACAAGGGGTGATCATATTCTCGTAGGCACAGCAACAAGGGACTGGAGCCTACCAGAATGAACCTCTTCTGCTTTTCACTGGTGAGTTTCTTTACATGCACCATTGACATCCTCATTTTTATTTTACTGTATCAATGAAAAGGAATGGAGTTCAGGTATACTCTAAACCTCCTATGTGGTAATTAACTGATACATTTAGGGTCTCATAAAAAAGTCCACATCAAAAAGAGGAAAAGGATGTTTTTATTAAAGCACTTAAGCCAACTCTATTCAGACGCAAGTAACTTAACTATATATACATATATACGTATACATATGTATATTTATTTTAAAAATGACTAGTTATTTAACATTTTGATGCTGAATGTCTTTTTATGCTGAATTTCTAAGAATGATCTGTAAACAGTATTTTTGAGGAAGTATTTTCTTCTATTTATTGTAAATATGAGAAAAATTTTTGCAAAATATGCTGCATTTGGGTTACTTGCTTTGCTTTGAGACATCCTAGGAATCAAAATTTCTTCTTTACTGTGTGAGTAATGAATTCCGTTTAATGTTGGCTTTGTTAAGCTACCATGGAGGCAGCTTCCCGAGTTACACAGTACTGTAAATGTGAGGTACAATAGATTATTCCAGTCCCGCAGATGTGCTCATTCAAGGGTATGAGCACTTCTCAAATTCTTTTTTACATTATTGCTATTTTTTTTTTTTTTTTTTTTTTTTTTTTTAGTTTAGCCTGAAGTGGATCAGTGAAAGTTAGCAGGTAGTCATAGATCTGGAAATACTTTATAACTCTAACCTGCAACTGTGACCATCTGCCAATGCTAAAAATGGATTTCAAAAATAATTTTATTCATTTCTCTCTGTGTTTATAGCAGGACATTATGCCTATTTGTTGGTTTTTCAAGATGTGGATGGGAGATCCCTGTCATTTGTGGGAATAAAATGGTTTACTTTGATGTTTGTTTTCCTTCCAAATTGCAAATAAGATTAACATAAGTGCGGGAGATGGTGCTGACATAGGTTGTAATACCTAAACAGGAGGCGTTTTAAGCCAAGATAAGGGATTTAATCTTGGCACATCTTGAAAAATAAAATGCAGCTGTGAGTTGTGGCAGGCTGAATCATGGAGTTCTGATTGCCTCTATAGTCCCAATTTACAAAATAATTGCCGGTGCTCAACTTCGCTTTGTGCCATATAAATCTGACTGGAGAAATCCCATTTCAGGTGATTTAAGTGGTATTGTGCATTCTTTTCTAGTCGATCTAAAAGAGCTATATGGGATTTATATGAATATACTTCCCATGGAAATAGGCAGTGTTGTAGCAGAGACGACTGCATTCCAGAATCACTCCGAATGGCTCTATAATCAGTATGCTAATGTTTCTATAACATAGCGTGGCTCAGCAGAGGGTGGCAGACGTTCCTAATCCTGCGATGGAAGCCATCTAACCATCTAAGGAGCATCATTGTCTTTCTCTGTAATATAGGGAGAGGGGCATGTACTCCAAAAGGATTGCTTCAAAGCCATGCCGCGTGGACTCACTCTGACTGCAACGCTTTTCGATGTTTTAAAGTTGTCCTTAAACAATTCCTTGTTTGGAAACATATTTGATTAGACGGAACCATCCTGAACACGGAAATATTTTGTTCAAGCATTCCAAAGTTTGTCAAAATTAATTGCTCTCATAATAAAATGTCCGCAAGTTACTTGGAAAAACCTCAAAACTATTTTAGGTGCTTTTTATTTCTTCCTGTGGGCTAAATAAATAAAATTGCTCAGTGTATGGGCTCTCCACCAGGGTGTTGTGACACCCTACTGTGCTGTTATGAGCTGCGAAAACGGGGTGGGGTTACAGCTTTCGCCAGGAATTTGTGCATAATTCAAAACATATTTTATCTGTGCCTGTAGGAATGTGAACATATGGGACAGGCATTTAAAATAAAGAGAATAAAAATCACTGATTTAGTGGAAAGAACAATTTCATAATCACAAAATAGAGGTGTATATTTATATATTGATCTTTAATTCTGTGGGAAGGAGGTGGCTTTAAATATTAAGGACCGTGTAAAGATTACCACTAAAGAAAGCCAGAGAAAGAGTTAAACATTCTCTTATTTAAGTGGAGGGGGAAATTGTAAATCTTTTAGTAAATGGGGTTTTTAAGAGAAATATAAAGCAAACTTAATGAACTACCCATTCTGAACCAAGGATCCTATAAATAATCCATTAAAGGTGATTGCTATTATTTTGGATCTATAAACTCGAGATGGGGTCTTTCAAAAGGGAGGCAGGGATATCCTTTTATGTATGCCACTCTGACTCCAGAATTTTTCTTACGGTTTTAACATTGTGATAAGGCTTTTAGAAGACTTGCTCATTAGAAGCAGGATGATTTTCTTGTTGAGCTCATCACATAGTTATTGAGTTTAACATGACTTTGTAACCCAGTAAGGTTACAAATCAATTATCCCTGCACCATTTCTTCAGTGATCTGTAATAATGCTGCTTCTATTTTATTTGGACTTTATTCTATCCCTTTGGTTTCTCTCTACCCCTTTCCTTATACCCATTCTTTTATATACCTATTAAGGTAATTCTAACGCTAAGGGAGATATCTTACTCAACAGAATACCCTCTCTTTGTCCTTCTTCAAAATTTGGACTTCTTAAGTCTTTGTGCTTCTAGGTAAATTTCAAATAATATGAAAACCTTTGATACGATCTTGGTTAAAACAGATTTAATCTCACATCATCTTTAGGGGAAATTGACTTAATTATGGAGTTGAGTCCTCCCACCCACAAATATGTGTAGCTTTTCATTTATTCAAGTTTACTCCTATGGACTATTAATATATTTTATGATTTGCTCTATAAAATTCATGCACATCTTTTACTAAATTTACTGCTAGGGGTCTAAGAATTTTGGTTGCCATTGTGATTATTTGTCCCTAATTTGTTTCTGCTGATTTATAGATGCATTATCGACTTCTTGATACTGATATTGCAAGTAAACAATTTTGCTGAATTTAAAAAATTCTGATAGTCTATGTTTTTTTCTTAGATTTCTCACACAGATAATCTGTAAGTTTTTCTCTTCTTTAGTAATTATATCATTCTCAAGTTTTCTCTCTCTTCTGTTACATTACAGTCAGAATGCTGTAACAGTAGGTACCTCAAACTTGTTTCTCACATTCATGTAGTTACTCCTAATTGAGTCTTTCTGAGGCTTTTGATTAATAATCCTAGTGAGATTAAGGAAATCCTGTCTTTTCCTAATTTGCTAAGATTTTATCACAGATGAATAAGAAATTTTTCAAATTTATTGAAATAGTAAATTTTCTGTTAAATATTTTAAAAAGACATCTAAATGTTGAAACACCCTTGTATTTCCATATTAAATACTGATTGACCATGGTGTATTTTTATGGAGGCTACTAAATTTAATTAAATTTAAATGTGTGCATTTCCTTTAGAATTTCTTAAAACTATGTTATAAGTAAAATTGGTCTATAGTTTTGTTTTTTTTTCAAGATTTTATTTATTTATTTGACAGACAGATCACAAGTAGGCAGAGAGGCAGGCAGTGAGAGAGAGGAAGGAAAGCCGACTCCCTGCTGAGCAGAGAGGTTTTTCTTTAATTGACAGGAAAATTCTGTCATTTTATTTTTCTAGAATTCCTGTTAATCTTATTTTGTCATATCCCACCACACTTCTACCTGAATGTACCATATGTTTTCTATTTATTCTTATATGCTGCACCATGGGTACACTCTTCAGTATTCCTTAATCTTTTTCAGATTTTTAGACTCAGGTCTAGAGTTAATCCTCATTTCTTATTTTTTTTCATATAAATTTATTTGATTATATTATTCATTCTCAAGATGTTGTAATTGTTTATTTTTGTTGCTCTTTAATGATACTTGTTTCATTGCTGCCTATTTGGTTTCATCATAGATTATTTATAGTTGGATATTACTTTTTTATTTTACTGTATGAAGATCACATTCTTTCTTAAACTGTTTCTCCATCCATTTTGATTTTAATTTTATCTGGAATGAAATGGCTTGATTTTCAGATTGTCAGTTCAGTTGGCTCTCTTTCTCAGCATTTAATCCCCTCATGTGTTTTGGTTAATGTTGAATGCTAAAACTCTTTCTGTTCTCTCTCTCTGTGTCTCTGTCACTGCCTCTCCCTCACCCACCTCTCCCCTCAACCTACACCCTCTTCCCCCTCTTTCTCTTTCCTCTCTGCCCTCTTCACCTTTCCCCATTTGGTTGTGAGGCAGAGACCTCAAGTCTCTCTGAGGCTCCAGGTTAGAGCGAAGACTTATATTGCTGGTCCAGGGATCTTTTTTTTTTTTTTTAACATTTTTTTTTAAAGATTTTATTTATTTATTTGTCAGAGATTGAGAGAGAGAGAGTGAGCACAAGCAGGGGGAGCATAGGCAGAGGGAGAAGTAGACTCTACCCCACTGAGCAGAGAGCCCGATGGGAGACTCGATCCCAGGATCCCAGAATCATGATCTGAGCCTAAGGCAGATGCTTAACTGACTGAGCCACCCATGCATCCGTGGTCTGGGAATTTATCCCAAAGTGATAGTTGGTGTATGACTGAGCCAGTGACTGCACCAGCTGGCTGCTTGCTTGTTTTGGGTCCCATTTTGCTGGCTGTGTTGATAAATTTCACTCTTCTGAGGGCCCCAGCAGCTATTGGAAGGAGCTTTTTTCCCAGCCTCCTTTCTAACTATGAGTTTTGCTGTAGCCCCTGGATTTCAGCATGGAGTTGCTTTATGTGGTTGATGTCTACTGCACGTTACCCCACAGAGCCCCAAATCTGGTCACTACTACCTGTTTGTGGATGGGCACCCAACAGGTTCAAAGCTTTACAGTCACCCACCGCACTGTGTTTCCGTTCGATTTTCAGTCTCCTTACACGTTTAGGTACCTTAGAGCATACGCGACTTAGTTCTTACTTAAGTCTTTTTAATTTTCCCAATAATTTGCTATGTGTTTTGAGGAGAGGTTGTTTAAAATATAAAACTGTAGAGCATTTTAGTTTAAAGTTCTAAAGGTAGATGATGCAAATATAATTCAATCTTAGCTTATATATTTAAAAAATCATTTTTAAGGATGAGAACATTTTCAGTACCACACTATAGTTTTTATTATCCTTTCAAGCAAGAAAACTTTTTCGTAATCCAGCAGACACTTATATTAATGACACCATTATCAGCATCCCTAGTCACTAAAGAAATTTCCATATACTATCTACCTCTCTTCCAGATGACATCACAACTAGAACAATTTTGTCTCAAAACGAGAAAATACAAGTCTGTTCAGTTAGTAAGTTGGCTTCCCAAATACAAAGAAAATTTACAGTATAGTTCATAATGGCTTTAAGTGCAAACCATTCAGTGTAAAATTCATTATTCTGTAAAAGAATAAAAACAAGTAAATAATATTATTTATTAATATAAATACTGTAAACATTAATGTCAAAGCCTTTATCATGTTTGTGAAATACTTTTGCTACTTCAAAGCGTGTCCTGTGTTTTCATTTTGCCCTGATGGTGCCTCTGTAACGTGGATGAAACTGCTGCTTCACTGTTAAGGAAGAAGTACAACAGATTGTGTTTCTCCTACAAGGGCATGGGACTAATTAGAGGGATGTGTGTCTCTAAAATCTGTGACCTGAGAGCCAACACGGTGTAATGCTGTCCAAATCGGCCTTCATTTGGTCGTACCTTGACCTGGATGAATTCATCACGCTTCTTGAGAAACTGCCTCATTTTGTGCGTTGCTCCCCAACACTTGAGTCTTGTTTGAATTGCGGGCTCTGAAGTCAGCGGTGAGAATGCCTTCCTTTACTGCCTTGTTCACTGATGTAAAATGGCGTACCATTACCTCTTAGTCTCTATGCCCAGGATGATTTAGATAGGATACTTTACGCAAGTGGGTAGATGGGTTCGAAGGCTGTTCAAGGAGGGACGCCTGGGTGGCTTGGTCAGGTGGGCAGCTGACTCTTGACTTCAGCTCGGGTTGTGATCTCAGGGTCTTGAGATGGAGCTTGACATCCAGCCTCATGCCCAGTGGGGAGTCTCCTTGGGATTCTCTCCCTCTCTCCCTCCCTCTGCCTGCGTGCTCACTTGCTCTCTAAAATAAATAAGTCTTAAAAAAAAAAAAAAAAAAAGACTTTTCAAGGAAAATATTTTATTATTTTGTGCCTTATAAATCTCTTTTATTGCAGGAAGGCTCCATGGACAGCTTGTATGAGCCAGTCCCAGAGCAACAGACTAACCAAGAAAGCACTTCTGTCGGGACTGGTTCTGTTATCTCACCTTTTGGAGAGAGTGGAAAAGCACACGACAATCTCTTCGTGGTGAGTGAAGCCCCAAGTCTCGTGGATTTCTTCTCTATTATATATTTCAAATCACTTGCTTCATGACACCTGTTAATAAAGCAAAAACCACTGTTCTCAGAAAGTTCTGCATTTACTTTCGGTTTCTGAGTTTCTCTTCATTGTTGTCTCTTTGATGATTTTAGCTTCTTAATATAAACTACCATTTACAGAGTATGTATTACGTAAGTTAACTCAGTTAATCTTCAAAACAACCTTAGGACAAAGAAATAATTATATCTTTTTTGAGATTAGGAAATTGCAGGAGAGAAAGCAAAATAACTTTTTATTTTTTATTTTAGTTGTTATTTATTTATATTATTATTTATTTTTATTTATAACTAAAGGCTATAAACTGTGAAGTAGTAAAGCTGGCAGTTAAAGATATATGGGTCTACCTCAGCAGTTCATCAGTAATGTATTGGTAAACCAGGTCTTTGGGATGGATGGAGGGAACCCCAGATCTGTATGTAGCATTTGCCGATTGCCTTGGTATAAATGTTCCTACCATGGTCATGCTACCAGTGGTTTAATAACAGACTTACAACACCTGAGTATTTATTTGTTCCTTATCTCCAGTGCCAAGTGCCGCATACCACTGGTGGCTTTATAGTCTGTGCTAATCATTTTATTAAGCTTCTCCTTAAATTTATGGACACACATTGTGAACTTACAAAAACACGAGTATTACTAGAATGCAAATGCAGATAGTTTTTTTTTGAATTATCTTTATAATTACAAGAGGCAGAGAGTTCTCAGTGCTCTGCAAAATTGGCCCTGTCCCTGTTTAACAGTGCTGGCTATTCTCATAGTTGATGGTGCTGTATTTAAATTAATCCCATACTAACAAACTTATTTCACTTCTATTGTGGCTTAGTACAATACAAAACGTCCATGTTTGCTACAAAAAAAGAACTTCCCTATACTTATAGATTTAAATGTCATTTCCTACTCCTACAATCATACTTTTCCCCAGTAACAACACAAAGATGAATATCCACTTCTTTTTTTGTACTAGGTGATGTTATATATGACATTATTTGTGCTGATCCTCACAATAATTTTAGGGAGATTTAGAACCATCAAGAAAGGGGGCACCTGGGTGGCTCAGTTGTTAAGTATCTGCCTTTGGCTCAGGTCATGATCCCAGAGTCCTGGGATTTAGCCCGGTATCAGGCTCCCTGCTCAGCAGGAAGACTGCTTCTCTCTCTCCCACTCTCCCTTCTTGTGTTCCCTCTCTCATTGTCTCTCTCTCTCTGTGTCAAAAAAAAAAAAAAAAAAAAAAAAAAAAAAAAGTAACATCTTAAAAAAAAAAAAAAATGTAGAGAAAGGTTATATAACTTTCCCAATTGAAAAAAGGATGACCCAGGATTCAAATCCAGAAAAGTACCTTCCTGTTTTATACCTACTTTCATACCTACCTATTTTATTCCTTGGGGATGTTCTTTGAAAACCTTTTTTATGTAGCTTACAGATCTAAGCAATGTCACATCAGTTAGCAACCAAGTTCAATGATAAGTCTCAGTAAGTAAAAATAATCCAAAAAAAAAATTCAGCGTAGTGGAAACTCTTTCCTCAATCTATACCCTTTTCAATATCCATGAAAGTGTTGATGTTGACAGATATGCAGAAGAGGAAGCAGCGGTACACTTTACGTATTAATGTGAGAGGCTGAGACTTACATGGAGACTCTCAATTGACATTGCAAAATGTTTGTAAGCATTTTTACTGTATAATTAAAAAGAAAAATTGAATAGGCTGAAGAACCTGAAGATATTTCCTTAAATGTGTTAGTTCAATAAATATGCATGAAAAATAAACAAGTTCGTGGCCAAGCAGTCTACTAGAATTTTTATCAAACTTCCTTACATTACAAAGTAGATGAGAATACTGAAAACATGATTTAAATTGCTAGAACTCTCTCCATGTATATATACAACATACACACATATACGTGAGTCTGCGTATATATATGCATATCATGTATATAGTTACATACATCTCTGTATTTAATTTAAAAATGTATGCATACATACAAGCATAAATGTGTGTGTGTGTTTATACACTTTTGAAAGGCAACCAGTTCAACCATTGATTCTACTATTAATTGTTAAATTGTACCAGTCCTTTCAAATTACCACTGACATTTTATTCCTAATGAAAATGATTCCAAAGCTTGGATAAAATAAAATCAATCTTTTGATAAAATGACATTTAGTGATTTACAACTTTCCCTCTGAGCCTCTGAAGAGTGGATCATTTCTTCCTCCTAGTATTCCCACTTCCTTTTTTTCCCCCCTAATTCAAGGGGAAAAAAAAAAAGTTTTGGGCTAGTCTTGACAGTATCAGAAAAAAATTATTCATTTTGGATTCATGTTCTAGAAATATTATAAAAACACCCCTACAGTTCATGGAGTTATACCTCAAGTTCCCAGTCCTCGACCCAACGTATCTGTAACCCTTCCCAGAGAGGAGAGGTGTTCTCATATTCAAACTCTTTGAAGCAACCAGACAGCATAGCTGGTTGTAACAGTGGAAATTAATAGTCCACACCAAAAATAATATCGCTTGTCACATGAATTGAAAAGAGAAATCAGCACCTGGGTGGCTCAGCCAGTTAAATGTCTGACTCTTGATTTCCACCCAGGTCATGATCTCAGGGTTATGATATCGAGGCTTTTATCAAGCTGTGCACTCTGTGTGGAGTCTACTTAAGATTCTCTCTCTCCCTTTCCTTGTGCTCCCCCCAATCACCCTGCTCTGCCTCCCTCTCTAAAAAACAAAAGAAAGAAAGAAAAGAAAAGAAAAATCAAAATGAAAAAAGCATCCTCGGCTTCCTGGCTTCCCTTAAACATATTTTATTTATTCATATTTATTAGTTTTGTGATATAGAAAATACTGTTTTGGGGAGCACCTGAGTGGCTCAGTGGGTGAAAACCTCTGTCTTCAACTTGGGTCATGATCTCGGGGTCCTGGGATGGAGCCCCGCATCGGGCTCTCTGCTCGGTGGGGAGCCTGCTTCCCCCTCTCTCTCTGCCTGCCTCTCTGCCTACTTGTGATCTCTGTCTGTCAAATAAATAAATATAATCTTTAAAAAAAGAAAGAAAGAAAGAAAACACTGTTTTAAGCAAGGTGTGGAGTTATATAGATGAATATAAAATAATCCAGACTCCCAGAGGAGATGTTCCAGTGTAGACTGACTCCAGATTTAAGGGTTGAATAGGTATTAAAGGGAAAGAAGTTTATTTGGGGCTTTTTAAATTTAAAAAAATTAATTGAAGTATAGTTCTCACAAATATTATTAGTTTCGGGAGCACAACACAGTGATTTGACAATTATCTACATTATGATACCCTCACCATGGTAAGTATAATTACCATCTATCACCACACGACACACAAAGTTACTGCAATATTATTGACTACATTCCCTATATTCTACTTTTCATCCCTATGACTGATTTTATGACTGGAAGTGTATACCTCTTAATCCTCTTCACCTGTTTTGTGTATCCCCTGGCCCCTTCCCCTCTGGTAACCTCTAGTTTGTTCTTTATATTTACGAGTCTTTCTTTCTGTTATTGTTGTTATTTTTTTGTTTTGTTTTCTAGATTCCACATTTAAATAAAATCATATGGTATTTATCTTCCTGTCTGACTTAATTCACTAACTATAATACATTTATGCTTAATACATTTATGAATCACTGTTGTCACAAATAGCAAGTTCTTTGTATGGCTGAGTAATATTCCATTGTGTGTGTGTGTGTGTGTGTAAGACAGCTTCTTTATCCATTTACCTATCGATGGTCACTTAGGTTGTTTCCATATTTTGTCTATTATAAACAATGCTACAATAAACACAGGTATGCATGTATCCTTTTGAATTAGTGTTTTCATGTTCTTTGGGTAAATACCCAGAAGGGGCATTACTAGATCTCATGGTATTTCTATTTTCCATCTCATGGTATTTCTATTTTCAATTTTTGGGGGAACCTACATACTGTTTTCCACAGTGGCTGTACCAATTTACATTCCTACTAACAGTGCAAGAGGAATCCCTTTTCTCCACACCCTCACCAACAATTGTTATTTCTTGTCCTTTTGAGAATACCCATTCTGACTGGTGTGAGATGATATTTTATTGTGGTTTTGACTTGAATTTCACTGATGATGAGTGATGTTGAGCATCTTTTCATGTGTCTGTTGGCCATCTGCATGTCTTCTTTGGAAAAACATCCTTTCAGTATTTGGGATTTTAATGAATAACATCTGAAATATCCAGCTTCCATTTTAATTGCAGTTCCAGGAGGGGTTGGTAGTGGAGAGCTGGTCCAAAGTTAAATAAATTTAAAATATAAAACTTTATTAAATTCTGTGAAGAAGAATAAGTGAGATCCACTTGTATCTTAGCAAAGCTAGAGAGTTTTGGAGGGCTACTGCCCCCCAAAAAGAAAAAATATATATGTGTGTGTGTAAAAAGTTTTTGGAGTGAATAATTGTGCAACTAAGTAAATATGCTGAAAGAAACTATGCTAATATATCAGCCTAACTAAGGATTGACTACTTTGTTATTATATTAGTTAAGATGTAGGCCATTAGGGCTTCATTCTGTACCTATTTTATTACTGCTTTATTATGTCTGAAGCTAATAAAATATCTTGATTTAGAAATAGAGTGAGAACATAAAATGTTTGTACCTCTGCCAATTGAGGGTTAACTGGATCAGTCCTGAATTATCTGGTTTGCCATCTGTATTGACTGAAGTAAGCAAATATTTGTCAATTTTCCTTTCCATTTTGTGACCCATAAATTAAGTTGGTAAGAAATTTAAGCCTTTTCAAAAAAATGAGTTTTAATGTGGGGTAGGGGCAATGTCCCCATTATTTACATGTTGCACAACTATTCATTCAGTAAATTTTCATAAGCTAAATGAATGAATGAGCGAAGTTCCATTAATCAAGCTAAAGAAAGTCTTAATAAC